ATGGATGTGGAGCAGTGAGAGCGTGATCGGACATTCTGGAGTCTGTTGGTCAAAAAGTCCAAAATCCAGTTGCACATGGAAGTGTTGATGTCCAGGTCTCCAAGTATAGCTATTATAGTATAGCTGGAATTAAATGCTCAGCTAAAGTCAACAAACAGCATGCATGCATATGTGTTCTTATTGTCCAGATGTGCGAGCACAGGGTGCCATGGAAACTGCATCCTCTGTTCTCCTATTGCTACGGTAGGCAAACTGGTGAGAGTCCAGTGTGGATGGTAACTTACGTATTTACTTACTTTTAAAAGTATTTGCTCTAACACAGCAAGGCTGAAAGCGGGACTTATTTTACTGGCACCTCAGAAGCTGTTTAGCAGTTTTAGATGTGATGGTAAGAGGCTAGACTACCTTAGACCCAAGGTTATTTCAACAAATGCTTGGGGTTGTGAGAAACTACCTATTTTATTTGGGAGAATCTCTCCTTGTGCTTTTTAAGTTGTAAGGGAAAACCTGTCTGACCAGAACAGACAGGAATATTGGCAAGACTGTGTCTGTTATCCCTACAAACGTAAAATAAAATACTGGCCTAAATGAGGAACACCGTTCTAAATTTCTTGATAATATAAGACTTAGTTTGTTTTTTTTTCAGATAAAAGTAGCTTTTCAATGATACATAATACAACTCGTTTAAAAACAAACAGCATGGCTGTTGGGCGTGTTTGCGGCTAAATATTCTGTAATCTCTTGCGATAATTTAATTAGCCAGGAAAGAATGTGATTAATCAAATCAATTAGATTGCACGAGCCAACATAAATCATGTAGGCCCAGTCTCATTATCAACCTCAGGGTGGACATTTGAAGAGTGTGTGTCTGCATGCAAAAATGTGCTTGTCTCTGTTGCAATGTGTCCAAGTGTGACAGTTAGAAAATGTGGCTTTACCCTTCAGCAGCAACCATTTTATTCTCTGTGTTTGTGAGCATGCATGTGCAGCTAGTGTACACTAGAGAGTAGTTGGAGAAGAGAAAGAGAGGGATAAGCATTTGCAGGCTGCAATTATGGGTAATTTTTCCAACAGCAGCAAAATTAAAGCCCCTCAAAACAAAACAAAGAGGGCAAATTTACTCCCTGGACTAGTCTGTCACCAATGCTCTTGAAGAGGAAGGGAGCAGGGAGCAGGAGCCAACGTGTGTCATGTATATACTGATGTATGACCATCATCATGTTGTGGAGCTAGTTTGGATCATGCACAAAGCCCCCTCATGTGTTCCCTGTAGACAGAGAAGAAAAAGACTTGGTTTGGTTGCTATGCTACCACTAATCTGGCCAGTAGCACACAAATGTTCAGGTCTGTATCTCCTTGTTATTATTCATATCTGTAGCATGTTTCCAAACACCTCAGCAACATACCGTCCAGGTGAATGTTTCTTTCATATTGATATACGTTAGATACACATTCTGCACTAGTTTTAAACATTCACAGATGTTATAGAATCCAATAAAAGAAGATTATGCTACTTTGAGGAATTTTTAGTACAAAATAAGGAATTTATATTTACATTTATTACAATATTCTAGCATCACCTGTTACAATTAACCAAATGGTCACTTTATTAGGAATATCTGTGAAACTGCTTGTTTACATAAATCTGAACTTAGTCAATTATATTGCAGCAAATAAATTGATTGAGGGCTATATATGTTTTATAATCAAGCATCAAAACAAGGTGAATTTAAGTAACTGAATTTGGATTTGGAAAATGCTGTTCGGGCATCTTGAGCTGCAGCGTTCAGATGATTGGTCAAAATTTTTTTAGGTGCTTCAGCTGGTGGTTGAAGCGGCAATGTGAAGGGCGTGTTTTCTTGGCACAGTTTTGTGGTGTAGGAAAAAGGGGAGTGGTGTAAGTAAACAAATTTCTTAAAATATTATCATTAATTATGAATCTTACATCTAGCGAGTAACATAAAACAAAAGATAATTTTCTGTTTTGTCCTTCTTATTGTAAAGTTTTCGGTTGCAGGAATTAAACAACAGATTTTTATATATCGGGAAATAAAGTATTTAATGATCTGGAGTAAATGCATTGACTTTGTAAAACAAACTTAATTTTAATTTCCAACCTTGAAGGGGCTCTCCTTGGTCATGTTAAGGAAGAAACACTTTATAGCTTCTACCTAACAAATCCAAAAAGTGATTTCCTGAAATTCTACTTTGAGCAAAGGGCAAGAAAAGGCAAATTGTTCATAGAAAATGTGAGTGACTTCAATAGGACTCTAAAATTCTGGTGCAAAAAAAAAAAATACACTCAGGAAACGTGGTAAAAACTTGACCTCAAATGGTGCAATGCAAGAGCCAGAAACCTTTCAGGAAACAAAACACAAAAAATGCCAAGAGATTGTTAACAGAGAGAAATTTAACCTCATTTTGCAGCAAGAACGACCCAGTTTAGTGCTTAATCTTCCTGAGAATGTTAGAGGCAGACATTAGACTAGAATTATAGAAAGGAGGTCATCCATCTTAAACACCTGAAAAGTTCACCTCACAAGACATGCAAAAGTTTTCTCAGTTACAATTTTGATTGCTGCTATAACAGTAAATAAAAAGTTGTCTCTTATGACAGTTAGAAAAATATTAAAGATTTTTGAGTATTTGTAAAATAATTAGCAATTAAAAGAATTGTATTCTTCTGTTTTGAAACACACCATCCAATAATACAATGTACAATAGTAACGGTCAGTTTTTTTCTACATAAACATAAAAAGATATAGCATATATTTTATATTTTGCTTTGACATTCTAGGAATTTTTTTCTATTACTCTATATTTAATATTCAGGAAGGCTACTCTTCATAAAAAATCTAAAGTACAGTAATCTATGTAAGAGAACCCATGCCCGGCGTACAATGTGTGATTTTTGGGGGGATTTTCCAGTCGTGCAAGAATTTTCCGATTGGGCCGACTTTCAGCCTGATCGTGCGTCATGTAGTGTACAGGGGGTTACGAGCGGCAATCAGCCTCTCACGACCAACTCCCGACCAGGAATCGTGTGTCGTTGTGGGCAAATCGCTCAGGGTGCATGTGCAAACCAGGATTCTTCTTTTTATTCTTCCTCTCAGATGTAAACACAGCAGCGTGGCAGGGATGTAATGAGTGAAATGCTGTCCTGTCTGTAAAATTGACAGACTGTAGTAGCCATGTTTGCTCAGCCATGTATTTTTTTTAAATACGTCGTCACCTTTTCTTTTTAGGACTTTCAGCACAAAATTGCACAAACTGACAAGGCAGCACGGTTCACTCTAGTGAGCTTCATATTCCCCTTCTATTTGTTTGGCTTCAGGATAGCGAGGTACTGAGTAGCTCCATCTCACTGCTGAGTCCAACATGGTTTTTGTTGGGATCCTCAGGCTTGCCCACCAGAGGGCGCAGAGGATCCTCTTCTGCTCTTTGTTGTTTTTTCTGTTTAGGACTGGAGTTACTGTTGGGATCTGGAAATTACCATCTGTCTCCAGCAGAGTGTGCCGTGGGTCTCCTAGGGCTGGAGTCTTCCAGCACACCTGAGACGCATCTACTCATCAGGAGACCTTCCCTTTATAAACACCTGCCAGACCTTGCTTCGGCGCCGCAGTGTTGATCTTAGTTTGGTTAGCAACCAGAGCCTCTGTTACTGAAAGAATCTTAGTTGTCTCTAGTGAGAGATCAGATTCTAACTCTCCTTTGTTTGTGCCTCACAGGAAACCTGTCGCTAGTCTGAAGCTCTGGGTGAGCTGCCTCACAGGAAACCTGTCTCTGGCCTGCAGCTCTGGGAGAGCTGCCTCACAGGAAACCTGTCTCTAGCCTGAAGCTCTGGGTGAGTTGCCTCACAGGAAACCTGTCTCTAGCCTGAAGCTCTGGGTGAGCTTAACCTGCCAATCAGCCCTGGTGAGCCAACCTGAAAATTCCTATGTGGAATTTACCTGAAGTTTCCTATGTGGAATGTACCTGAAGATTCCTATGTGGGATCAACCTGAAGAATCCTATGTGGATATACCCTGCTGTTCTCTGTGAAGAGCTGGAGGCTCAGATCATGGTCTGCTATGCTAGGTCTGAAGCTAGACGCTTTAGCGCCTCGTGAACTCTGCTAACCAACAGTCTCTGGTCCCAGTCAAGACTTCAGTGAACCAGCATGAACCAGTTCCAGATCCAGTTTATGACCTTGTGTTTTGTGCAAACTCAATAAACTCTGTTAAACTCTTACCCAGCCTCCGTTGTGTTCTGCATATGGGCTTGCATCCTTTGACCCATCATGACAGTTTTTAGTCGTACACTGTGAGCAGGTACAGTAGATCGCATGAACATAAATCGTGAGCTGTGAACTCACATTGTACGACTAAACCGCAGGGTTTAGTCGTACAATGTGAGCAGTAGCTGCGTGCAACGATAGAAAAAAATCACACAGGCTCTTTTAAGGACTTGCCATCTGGCTTTGAGGCTAGCAGCAGTTAAGTTTACCTACACCTCCGACCACTTCAGGGATTAGATATTTTACCCAATTACTACATACACTTGTCTTTTTAAAGCATTTTTTTCCCCATAAACCTCTTACATCTCATAGCTTTAAAAAAGTGCTAGACCTTGTCTTCAGATCATCTAATTTCCTTCTCTAAACTGATTTTATGTTAATTCATAGCCTTCATAAAAAATAAACAAAAAAATAATAAATTGGAGATCAGTTTTTCCATCAGTTCAAACAGAGGAACTTAAACATAAAACTTTTTTAACCATAAGTCACATAGCTAGAATAAACCTCTGACCTTCTTCTTTTCCCATCAATAAAAACAGACAACATTAGGTTGGTTGAATATTTACTGTGACGCTGTCATTAAACTCAACCCTTCACCCTGTGGGGGCTCACATTGTGATTTACCTCTTTTGGAAACTACAGTAGGAGGACAATATCTCTATACACTGATAAATCTCCCTTCCTGCTTTTTCTGTTGTCATCTTGTCTCTTTTGCTCTTGTCAGGGGGAGCCCGCCTGATCTGTTCAATCACCCGAGAGCACCAAGGCAGGACCCCGTAAAGGTGATTCACTCCATTTCAGCCCTTCATACAACATTTCCTCTTCTGCCTTCTTCCCATCCCCTGTTTTTTTATAGCTACGCTCAGTCAGCTGTTGTTAACCTAACATTAACGCCTGAGTTTAAAACAAAGGCCTCTTTTCTCGGGGAAAACGTTTAAATTATTTTCTCTGAGAATGTATGAATGTGCAAATACTCCAATCTATCTTTCCTGGAAAACACTTTTGTTGAGCAACTGTCACCTAAACAAGTTTTTTTTTTTGGTTCTGCTTTCCTTAGACTTTCTGGCAACTTTTGTGACATTTTGACATTTTTGACAGTTTGAAACAGTTCAGACTGCTAACAGGCTCTCTGTGGCTGCTATTGGTGTCTTGTTTGCAGCTAGTGACTGACATCATGGAGGCAGGTGCCACTGTTTTTCACATTTTTGTACACTTTTGTTAGTGCTACGTGTACCATAAAGAGTTAAGTCTCCAAGAAACAGTACCTGATGTGTAGAATGTGAACCATAATAACTTCCCTTTTCACATGACCAAACTAAGCATTTGATTTGGAAAAAAAAAAAAAAAAAACACAAAAAATCCTTTGTCTGAAAAATGCAGTAAATAATAACCCTATGTTTCCTTTTGTTTCAGGCAGTGACCCGTTAAGGCTTGAAAGTGACTAATGTCTTATTGCATCATGTAGTGTCTCTTCATCTTCATTGAGTTTTGCTGGGAAATGGAGGAGAACTGGGCAATTATTTCTGATGTATCTAGTTGGACAAATTCTGCCATCCTGAGCAGAGTTTCAGAGTCTAGTTAAGGTCTGTGTCCTCATTATTGATAGGATCCATACTGCTGTCTCACTTCAAGCTTTTCCAAGATGTCCAGTTTAGTCTTGTGACTCTTGGTGCATGGCAAATTTCCACAATATTTTCAGTCAGACAAATTAGATCATTGTTGAAGTGATTATTAAACGAGATAATTGCCCAAATTTTGTCCTTAAATGTGCAATTTAATTAAATGGTTTATCCTATACTGGATAGATTATGATGTACGTATTCTGAAGCATAAATGGCATGAGCAGGGAATTGTTGACGAAACATTTGAGTGGATGCCATTGACCTGAACACGATTTATATTGAGCTTTTATAAGGTCCTAGAGACAGCTAAAGTAAGCATTGCCTAGGAACACCCCCATTTAATAGATACATGCTGGAAATATGAGTAATCTGTAGGCAGCAGTAATCTGTAGGCAGCATTATTTTTGTTATTTCAAAGCCTATCTGGTATGTTGCATCATGATCAGTTACAAGTAGGCCTGTCAATGAGTTATATTCAATCGCAAATATTGTTTTATGTTGATATTAATTTAAGCATTGGGGTGAATAATTATACTTTTTTATGTAGATGTATGTTTATATGATTGCAGCAATACCAAACATGATAGTAATCAAGAATATTCTGAAAATAAAATCTATATTATCTTTAGCAATCAAGTATCCAATAATTATTCGGGCACCTGCCAATCATTTATCATATTTTTTTGACTCACAAGATGCTGCTGATCAAGTCTTCTTTTTCCTGGCAGTGTCACTTTTAAGTAGGATTTCAGTAGATGTCGGTTGTTTGTTGACTGAAGAAGAAACCATCACTATCCCTGACAGTTTTAGAAACAGCTACTTCTTCTACTATTGACATCCATAGGACTATGTGGAAAATTCTGCCAACGCATATTATGCAGCATACAGCCTATTCAGGGCAATAGAGAGTTACAGGTGTAGGCTTGTTGGTTTTGGTTTTTAATGTTTAATCACCCATTAGCATAAAAAAAAATGGACATGCATGCGTATTCTTTCACACCTTGTACCCTGAAGGAAGACTGCTGTGAGATATCAAAAAACAAAAAACTCCCAAATCTAATAGGGTAAACAGTAAAACATAATCAAACCTATGATCTATTTCCCTTGAAGTGCAGCTTCCCACATAAATAAAACTAGACCAAGTCATGTAAACTGGATTCATCAAACATTAGATTTTTATCCTGACAAACTTTAGTAACAACCTTTTCCATTTCCTAATATTTAGATTTCTCAGGAAAATCCTTTTTAAACTGTGCCTTTATCACTGCATGATTAGACAAAAATAATGGAAGACCTTCTTTGATAGAGTCTTTGCCTCCCAAATATATTTTCCTTAGTTAAAGCAGGAATACACAAGAGGAGGTTAAAGCGGGAATACACAAGAGGAGGAGGGGTGGTCATGCTTATTTACAATTCATTAAACAATAAGATGTCGTTGTACAAATTTGACTCTTTAATATCCAGTTGTCTTGGTAAAGAGCACTACCCAACTAAAACTAATGCTTGCTAATGTTTATAAGCCATCAATAACAATGTGGTTAGAGGTTTTGGACAAAATAATTGAAGACTTAAAAATTTGTATGCAATATATTTATATTCAATGCCCACCCAGAGGGGATGAGGTGGGGTGGGTTTCTACTACTGCATTTTTCTACTGGGCACTTTTCGTGTTCAAATGTCTTTTATATCTGGTAGTAAGAGGTAGCTAGCCTAGTGCTAGTTTAGTACTTCTGTAGCCTCCGTGTCTGTATCACCCTGTGGCTTTACCTACTCCCTTGAAATCTCCCACCTCTCTCTCCTGCTTTCTGTGCAACCAGTTCAGTCATTCTACTGACTCCATTAGCAATAACTTTGTGTGTATTAAGGAGCTGAGGGTGTCATGGTATGGCTGTTGAACATTCAGGAGTTAGACCAGGCCTAGAAGTTAACAGTTTAGAGCCACAAGATCAGGGACATGTTTAAGTAGTTGTCTTCCAGCAATTCCTCAACAGCCAGTGACCAAGGGGGGGCTAGGTGATGGCATAGTCCCAGATCTTTAACCATTGGCAGTGTTGTTTATGACAGCCATCTTACATTTACTCTTAGTCTTAGTCTTCAGGACGAAAACTATTATTATTCTTAGTCACATTTTAGCCATTACGATATGTGATAGTTTTAGTCGGTTTTAGTCAACTTAAATATAAAAAGGTTTTAGTCTGCTTTTAGTCAGTTTTATGTTGCAAAAAATAGTTAACCTTTACAATTTCAGATAACAACAAGGTTCTTTACCAGACTGACAGCTCTTGCCTAGATAGTAGAATAGATATATCGATATAGAATGCTGCAGTGCAGGTTATTTGCTGTTGGGCAGAAAAATTTTGATCTATAGAATTCAAATAAACTTTTTTATGACTCTCACAAAAGTTGTGAAAATAGCAGATGAATTTCAACACATTATATTCGTTAATATAGCAGACAGACAAGCTAACAAAATGTACAATAAAGGAATGGTTTCAAACATAGAAGGTTTTCATCCCAAAGCAAATACTTCCAGTTCTACTAAGAATTGTGCATCAAAAAAAGCAAAGAACAAAAAAATTGTTCCTTCTACTTGACTTTATTTCTTCAATTTACCCCTCTGTTAATGCTGCTCAGGGGTGAAAGTAGATTTAAATTCACAGGGTTTTGATATAATTCCATGTTTAGCTTTCCAGTTTTCGTTATCGCCATGAAAAAAAGGAGCGTCAACAAATAATTTCACCATCATCATCTTTGACAAAAACAACACTGACCATTGGTGATCACAACCCCTCGGCATTTCTAACCAATTTTTCCCAAACAGTGACAAACCCATTGAGAAGCCGATCCTAGTAATCGGCAGCTACATTTTCAGAATGTGGCTTTAGTGACACCACTGCAGAGATGGAGGATCTGGAGTTCACAAGTCATCTCTATGTCATATATTTGTTGCTCAGCGATTGAAACAGGTGAGTCCAATCTACACAGGTTAATTCACTCTGCAGATCGGACTCACGTGGTTCAATGGCTAGTTAGGACAAACACATGATATAGAGATGACTTGTTGGCCCCAGATACCCCATCACTGCACCATGGACCATAGTTGAATGTTTACCAGAAGCCAAAATGGGTGACATCAAATCCTTTAATAATAGGAGCCTTGCTCTTTGGTTCATTACAGAGCTCCACGCCCTTGGAATAAACCTAAAGGGAATGGTGACCTACATACATACAGGAATCCTACCTAATCTGGCCCTGAAAAAAAATAACAACAGCAGGTTTGGACTTTATGTTTGAGAAGTTTATCATGAAGAGTTTGGTTTGACGTCAAATTACCTTTTAAATAATTTAGACCAAATGCAATATATCCAAACCACCTCAAAATTAAAATTGTTGGAAGTAAATAAAACATTTGAAAAAATATACTTTATTAAATTAATTATTAATCAGAAATCAGTAACCTTTTAGATAAATTCTCAATGTTCTGTGATTCTTGAAGAAAATGTTAAGGTGGGACAGCCAAGGTTCTTTAGCTTGGTCTTGTGAAACAATGGAGTAGCCAGCAGAAATGAGGGGACTCAATTAGAAATTACTCTTTCATCATACTTAAACTATCAAATGTAATGATCATATCAGGAAACACAAAAAGATTAACATTTTATTAGTGTTTAAACCATTAGTAAAATAAAGTTTGCTTTAGCTTTATAAACACCCCACCTTTGACCAAAGACCCCTAGAGATGGGTATCAGCCTCCTCTAACTCTGGTAGACAAGAGAAATTGGAACTAGTTGCTATTCTAGAATTACAGGCCTGTTTCAAATGTTCTAATAATTAGTGAGGTTCTTTTAAATAATACTTGTTTCAACAGTTCATAGCTATGTTAGTAGATGCGTTGACGTCTTCATAGTTTCCAGCTCACCACTGTCCTGATGCTGCCCTTCTTAAGGTAAACATTTATTCCCCCAAATTCCATCTTGTTTAATATTCACATGCCCCCATCGAGAAGTAGGAGGCCTATAGGATTTGGTCTGATAATGGCTTAAACAGGTTTACACCAGAGAGTGGTATTGTTGGCAAGGAGAATCCAGCTTTTTTTTTTTTTTTTACACACCTAACAACAGAAGTTAAGTGAAAAAGAGCAGGAGCAATTATTCCAACATTC